CCCCGGCACATGACATCAGTTTATGGATGTGATTCATCCCCCATCCTGAGAGGACAGAGTCCAACCTTCAAGGTTTTGGGGTGAGGCAGGTTGTGGATCTTTAGTCTCCAACACCGATTCCCGTGTAAGAAGACCTTAGGATGAAATGGCTCCAGGGGAGGGGTTCTATTTCAGAACATATATTCTTAATTTCTTGCAGCAGGTTGTAGAGCATTTATCCTTGCATGTTGGATATTCCCTTCATATGTAAACAGTTCTGGGCCTAAATAAACAGAAACCTCAGCAGAAGCCAAAAGATTTTCAGGACTTTGCCAGTTGCCTTCGGCTCCAAGTATCCTCTGGCACCATCGGATGAAGGAGATCGGGGGGAGGAAAGAAATCCACTGAAGTCCCTGAATCCCTGAAGGATCTCTTTGGGCAGTTCAGGGAACTGTCCACTTTCCGCGTTCTTTCCTGTGTCGCTTGAAGCCAAAGATCTCCAGGAGAGGAGATGCAGATGATTTGAAAGCCCACACCAGGGGACATTCCACGAAATGGTTCGGTTTCCAGCATGTAATGAAGCCCAGCCCTGCTCGAACCGGACAGGTGGGCTAGCTCACAGCAAAATCCCTGGCCAATGGTGAGGCCTCAAGGTCTTAGCGTCCTTTTCCCATCCTTGGTGAAGAGACCTCTGGCTTTGGGAGAGGCCTTCTCTGTGGCAGGTGCCCTGAAGCAGAACCCAGCTCGGTTTCTGTGACATGTTTCAGCTTCCAGCTTTCCATTTTGGTTTAAACCAGGGATCTCCAACCTTGGCCACTTTAAGACTTGTGGACTTCAACTCTCAGCTTTGCTGCTGGCTGAGGAGCTCCGGGAGTTGAAGTCCACAAGTCTTAAAGTGGCCAAGTTTGGAGTCAACAATTGGCTTGAAGTCAACAATTAATCAGTGGAATGGCCTGCCTTTGGAATCTGTGGGCGCTCTATCGCTGGTGGATTTTAAGAAGAGTCTGGACAGCCATTTGTCCAGAAAGATGTAGGGCAGAAGTAGTCCAACCTTAGCAACTTTATGACCTGTAGACTTCAACTCCCATAATTCCTCAGTCAGCCAGCCAGCCAGCCATCTAGGAGTTGAAATGCACAACTTTTAACATTGCCAAAAGTTGGACACTCCTGGTGGAGGGTCTCCTCCTTAAGCAGTGGGGTTGGACTAGAAGACCCCTTCCCCAAGACCCCTTCCAACTCTGTTATACTGTTATTGTGTTAGGGCAAGGCTCTTCCAACTTGACAGCTTTAAGACTTGTGGACTTCAACTCCCAGAATTCCTGAGCTAACATGACTGGAGGAGGAATTCTGGGACTTGAAGTCCACAAGTCTTAAAGCTGCCAAGTTTGAAGACCTCCTGTGTTAGGGCAAGGCAGAGAGAGGTGATCAGTGGAGTTTGCTCTGTGTTGAAAATAGAGCCCGATATCTTAAAGCAAATAGAGATAGTCAGCAATAGATTTCAGAGGGACTCAACACAGGACAAATAATATGGAGAACAGAAGCAGCCATAGCGTGCACATCGGGTTTGGCCAAAGAGTTTGAAACGTTTCACCTCTTCTAGTCTAGAGCCCAAGTTGGATAATTTGCAAGTTCTAAAGTCACCCAAAAGTCCTCCTTCTGAGATCCCCTTGCTGGAGAAAGAATCAGCTCAGTAAAACAGAAATGCTGGGTGGCCCTTGGGAAGAGGAGGAGGAGGAGGAAGAGGAAGAGGAAGAGCAGGAGGAGGAGGAGGAGGAGGAGGAAGAGGAGGAGGAGGAGGGAGCCTGTTTTTCCTCTCCCTGCCAAGGCCCAGATGAAAAGCAGCTCTTGAGAAGATGCTCACATTTCACGTGGACGTTTCTCTTGAAAGGAAAATTGTTGATAAGATTTAAGGGGGGAATTTTCTTCAACCCCCTCCCGGTCCTTGGAGTTCCAAGGCTGTTCCCACTTCCCCAAGGCTTCTCTCCATTCACCCAAAGCCAGGCTGGTTAATTTCATATTTCAAGGAACTGAAGGAAGGAGGACGGCATCCAATCAGAACAAATGATTTGCTGGGAGGGGCTGGGAGACGGAAATTGGAGATTTGGTGTGCAGATCGTGCGCAGCCCCCAAGCTGGAAGGATGTTCCAGGATCTTGTCTCTAAGAGGTTGCTCTTCCCATCTCCCTTCTATTTACAAAGGAAGCATAAACCAGTTCTTTGAACTACCAAAGCCATCGGGATGAGCACAAGGTCAAAAACACACACACACACCCCAAGATGGCGGCCAAGAGATGGCAATCAAACCATGGTTTGGCTTTCATGTGTCGCATCCTTGCAGCCAACATTTTGACTGCATGATCCCACCCCGTGGGTTCCCTTGAGAGCTGTTTCCTTATTTCAGTTAAAAACCTGAAAATAAATGGGGAGGGGGAATAATTAAATATGAAATGGAATTCATTGAAGGCCAAAGACTTTTGTAGAGGTTATAGAACGTTTCCAAAATATTGTGAGCAGTGGGATCCTATACAAGAGTTGAAACTACAAGATAAATCTGCCCTTGGCCACTGCAGTTGAGATATACATCTCATTCCTTCTCTTCTGGCCTTGCCAGACAAAACTTCCTTTTGTTTTTATCCGGGAAAGACAGGGTTCAAGAGCCTTGTTTGCAAAGCCATGGGGCCCTGGCTTTGGTTGTGCCAGGCTGGGCTCCCTCATAGGGCTCGAAACACGGACAAATATTTTCTCCTGCTCCGTTTGAGTCCTGGCCGGGCAGCGTTTGCGAAGTCCATTGAGAATGTACCTTGGAGTGCACCTCTTCATCAGCTTCCCATTGAGATGGTTATGCAGAGACAAGTCCAAGACAGGATCTGCTTTCCGCCTTGGCAACGGCCAAACGATGCACCGCAGTTGGCCATCCCCATGGGTTATGGAGTTCTTGGCACTCTCTGAGCTTGGTCATCGCCTTGCAGACATTTCACGAGCCAGCTAAGCAACATCATCAGTGCGAGGGAGTGTCAGGGCAGAGGTCATGGCTATGAGTTATAGAGGACATTTCCAGGAAGTCTCTGTTCTGACCTAGACCTTCCCAAGATCATGAAGCTGACTCCTCGTCCCGATAAAACCCCTTTTATTTAGTTTACAGTGAATTCCTCTCCAGCAAAATCCCAGCCAACAGTCTTTCAGGAGATTTCACAACGACAGGCCTTTATCAGCTTGGAGAGCTGCCAAGCCGATACCTTCCAAACGCCACGCTGTAGCAGCAATGACTTTCCAAGAAGTCAGGAACAGATCTTCACCCTAATGAATTGAACTAATTGTCTCCTGCAAACCCCATTTTCCTTTCGCTCCTCTTTATTACCTCTTGGAGGGGCTATTCTCCATCCACCTGTGGCTTTACTCCCAAGTCGACCCTTGTTCCTTAACTGTTCCCTTCTCCTGGCAGCTTGGCACATGCGCACATCGGGAACAGGCTCCTGCTGTTCCTCTGCCTCATTGATGTCCAACTCCAAAGGCAGCTGAAAACTGTCAGATGGCCCTGGCCCCATTTCTGCCTCGGATGCAGAGCCCTCGTCCGAGCCTTCCCCAGACTCCGGGACTGGCCCATGTTCCTCCCCAACCTCCTCACTGTCTGAATCTGCTGCCAGCTCCTCTGGCTGTTGGTGGGCCACAATAGTCTCAACATCCTTTGATGCCAGAAACTTTGAATGTAGCCATTGGAGTGCACAGCTACTCTGGGGATCTTCCCACCCGAGGTACAATGGCACTGGCTGAGCATCTGAGTTTTGACCGTGGGGGATGGCTGCAAGTGTGAAAAATGGTTATGAGTGATTTTTTTTTCCAGTGCCGTTGTTACTTTGGTCATTAAATGAATTGGTTGTATGTCAAGGACTGCCTGCATTATATTTGTATAATGAAATAAAAATACAGTACTCATGATGCAGATACTATTCCACAACCCACAGGATAAAAATGCGATTGCATTTGAAGGTAGATCTGAAGGCAAACTTCAGAAGTTGTGGGAGCTTCATCCCTGGAGGCTTTCAAGAAGAGACCGGACTGTCGGAAATGGTGTAGGGGCTCCTGCTTGGGAGGGGTCACCAACCTTTTGGACCTCAGGGACCACCAAACTCATCAACCTAAATCCCGCGGACCAGAGACCCTGGGAAAATCTCCAAAAAGAGTCTGCAGGAAAATTCCCCACTCTGTTTTCCTACCAACTGATCGTTCTTTATTTGGAATCGCAGCTCCGTTCTCAGGGGGAGAGAGAGAGAGAGACTTTTGGCTTCGTGCAAGGAAAGCAGCAGAAGCAGCAGAAGTCTTTCTTTCCCCCAAACTCCACCAGAAATGAGTCTTTGCCGGCGCGGCCTCTTGGAGCAGGAGGCCTTACAGGGTCCCAAAGACTCATTTCTGGCGGAGTTTGGGGGAGAGAAAGAAAGACTTTGGCTGCTTTCCTTGCATGCAGTCCCCTCTTCTCCCTTTCCCCCCTCCCCTCACTACCTCCTGTTGTTTGCAATGCAAGCGATGCAAACCTTGTGTTCCCGCAGGCCATGTGGGCAGCACAGCCTGGATTAATTGCTTTGGGGGTGACATTTCTCTGCGGACCAGCAAAATTTCTCACGGACCACCAATGGTCCCCAGCCCACTGGTTGGCAACCACTGGACTAGGTGACCTACAAGGTCCCTTCCAACTCTGTTAATCTGTAATAGAAGGCATTGGCATTCTCTTTCTTTGCATGTTCTGAGTGCCTTTATTTGGCTCTCTCTCCATTGGAGAAATTCTGGCAGGGACGTGACCAAAACTCTCCCTTCAAAAGAGGATTCTTTCATACAGCTGCCTTTCATACAGCCCCAGACTAGCAAAGGACGAAAGAGCTTCTTCTTAAAGACTCATTAATCAGAGGCTTTCCAAGGGAAGCCAGACCTGAAATCCTCGTGCGGGCGGCCTCTCCATGACCCTCCGATTCAAACTCACGGGGATTTTTTGTCCCAGAAGCAAAAGGGTGGAATTCTAAGCCAACTTACACAGTGTGTGCTGGAGATGATGACGGAGCTGGAGATGAAGCTGAGGCCATCGTTCATGCTCACTTGAAGGGCAGCTTCCCTAAAACAAGGAAGGAGGGGAGAAATGACTTGTTGGGGTGGGAAAAGACAAAGGAATGGTCTTTTGCTGGGTGGAGAGTCGTCCAAGGGAGAAGCAACCTGGAACTGTGAGGAGAAACTTGCAAACAGTGAGGACAATTAACCAGAAGTTGTGAGTGGCTCCATCGCTGGAGGTTCTGAAGAAGAGATTGGGCCACCACTTGTCTGAACCATTTGCTTGAACAGGGGGCTGGACTAGAAGACCTCCAAGGTCCCTCCCAGCTCTATTCTGATTCTGAGATTTGAAAACCCAGCACCTTCTTTGCATTGTAGAGCTCAGTGATTACAGTGGTGGGATTCAAAAAACGTTTTCTACCAGTTCTGTGGGCGTGGCAGGAGAAGGATGCTGCAAGACCCCCCTTCCCTCCCCACCCCACTGACCTGCTTTCCAGCTCCGTTCTCCTTTTGCAGGGCAACCAAAAAAGAACCAGCCAATCAGCTGGGACTCAATGGGAGGCAGAGAAGAGATGGGATTGGTGGGGCCAGTCAGAGGTGATCTTTGCTGGTTCTCCCAACTGCTCAAAATGTCTGCTACTGGTTCTCCAGAACTGGTCAGGACCGGCTGAATCCCACCTCTGCTCAGATACCTTCAACTAGGTGGTCTTCAGAGGACTTGGGCTTTAGCTGTGAAGAATGGAAGTCTACCCTCATATATCTACAGGGCAACCAAGCTGGAGAAGGCGCCTTGATTTGCTGAATGACCAGAATACCAATGGAATGGGCCCCTCCATGGCAGGCAAGAGCCAATCTTCTCGATGGCGGGCTCATCGCTGCTATCAAAGCCGTTCCCGCAATGGCCAAGGATTGGGGTCTCCATCACCATGTTCTACCCTCTGTTTCGCTTCTTGGTCACCTTGGATAGCAGAGCTATTCAGAACCGCTGCTTCCACCCCCTCCCCAAATTACTGAAATCCTCATGGACAGATCAGAAGCAAAAGGAAATTCACCAGTGAAAATTACAGCAAAAAAACCCCCAACAACTCTTGTGTGCGTTTTCATAAACCTACATGCCAACTTCTTGTAAGACAGGCGCTGGGCAGAGTAAGTATGTGTCCTCCACTACGAAGGGTTTCTCGTCTGGAAAGAGAAGCAGAGAAAGTGGTTTCAGTTTGAAGCAACTCTGAAAGGAACAATTAGGGTGTGGGAAGCTTTATAGCCAAATATATTTCATTCTTCACACTGTTTCCATCTTCTTTTGAAACAATAAGAGAATCCACTTGACTCGATAATTGACAGGATGTTGCTCTATATTTACGACCAATGGGGACAGATAGAAAAGGGGAATGGTTCACACATCAAAGCTTAACCCAAAACCTGCTTAAAAATATGCCATTCTTATTTACAGGGAGAAACTTGGTTATGGCTTCAGGTGATGGCCCAATTCATACACCATGCTAAAAGAAACAGCAAATTTCCACACCATAAAATGACCCAACTTTGTTTTATTCTATTCCGGCATATTGTTTGAGCTTGGCTTATAAGTGTTTTTTTTTTAAATCTCTTTTTTAATATTAAATTCTATTCACACATCATAAAAATCACAGAGTGTTAAGAACTGGACATCCATTCCAGCCCAATTGGTGTAGGAATCTAATAAACTTTGCCCAACAGATCATCCAAGCCATGTTTGAAAATCTCTAGGGCAGGGATTCTCCAAATGTGGCAACTTTAAGCCACGCTGGCTGGGAAATTCTGGGAGTTGAAGTCCACAAGTTTCAAAACGGCCAACTTTGGAGACCCCTCTGCTCTAAGGCAAAACCAGGCAGACTGTTCCACTGAATCAACCACTCGTTTCTTTAGAAAACTCCTTCTCCTATGCAGCCCAAATCTTCTTTCTTTTATTTTCAACCTGCTGAAACTTGTCCTACTTTAGAAGTTCACAACAACATATTTCACCCACTGAGATATTTGTAAACTACAATCATATTTCCCTTTAGCCTTCAACTGAAGCTAGGATAGGCCTTTCTGCTAGCAATTTATTTTATTAATACAATTTTGTTCAGTGTTAATTGTTAAAGTTAAATTCTGCTTTCATGAATATATCTAGTTTTGCAAGCACGTTCTCTCTTCATGGTGTTTTACTGGATCCTGGAGCCGTAGGGCTGTTGTCCCATTTCTCCCGAGATTTACAGAATTGGTGCAAAAGATGTGAATAACAACCCTGCTGATGGGTGCTTGTGAAGGAATGGATACCCACATTGATTTACTAAAATAGTGATTCCAAACCTAGGACGTGCAGGTCAAAATTGACACGCCACAGTTTGGGTGACACACCAGTGTTCACCAACACCCAGCAACAACTATTCTCAAAAGCAAGGGTCTTCAAACTTGGCCACTTTATGACTTATGGACTTCAACAAGCAGAGCTGGCTGGAGAATTCTGGGAGTTGAAGTCCACAAGTCTTAAACTTGCCAAGTTGGAAGACCCTTGCTTTTGATCGCTGCAATGGTCTTAAGTGTGAAAAATGGTCCTAAGTCAGAGGGCTGTGAAAATATTTACAGACCCCTCACATCCTGCCCGGCACACCAGAACAACTAGACACAAGGGCAGTTTTTCCCCCAATGCCATCACTCTGCTAAACAACTCATTCCCATAACACTGTCGAACTATTTACTAAGACTGTATTACTATTCTTCTTCTCATCCTTCCTATCTCCTCTCAGTTATGACTGTATCCTTGTTGCTTGTATCTTTATGGTTTATATTGTTTATTTAATTTCCTAGTATGATTTGAAGGCTTATTTAGTATTCTATGATTATCACTAAGTGTTTTATCTTATGATTCTTGATGAGTGTATCTTTTCTCTTACGTACACTGAGAGCTTATGCATTCAAGACAAATTCCTTGTGTGTCCAGTCACACATGGCTAATAAAGAATTATCTCTCGCTCCTTCTCCTTCCCTCCTTCCCATCAGTGGTGGGATCCAATTTTTTTTACTACTGGTTCTGTGGGCGTGGCTTGGTGGGTGTGGTGTTGCTTGGTGGGCGTGGCAGGGGAAGGATACTACAAAATCCCCCTTCCCTCCCCACCCCACTAACCTGCTTTCCAGCTCTGTTCTCCTTTTGCAGGGCAACCAAAGGAGACCCAGCCGATCAGCTGGGACTCAATGGGAGGCAGAGAAGAGATGAAGGTGGGGCCAGTCAGAGGCGGGAGTGGCCGGTTCTCCTAATGACTCAAATTTTACGCTACCGGTTCTCCAGAACTGGTTCGAACCGGTTGAAGACCACCTCTGACTCCCTCCCTCCCTCCCTTTCTCTCTCTCTCT